GGCCGGCAATGTACGTTGCTAGTCGGCTGCCTAGCCTGTGTTGCTGTGCTTTTCTTTTCCTTTGACGGCGAATGTCTAATTTCGGCTGGCCTGCACATATAGGATGATGGATAGGATACGGCGGCCTGGGAATAACACTTATGTTATTGCGCGAAGAGTGCGACTGTTTAAATTCGATTGCGCTGGTATACGGCTATTAACTACCAGTACAACACGCTTGTATTTGGGCTTAATTTCATTTGGTCGACCGGCGACGACGTATCACCCAATGATTAGCGTCGATTTGCAAATGTACGGCGTCCAATTTAAAGTACATTTGTTCGTGTAAGGAGGGCAGAAACATGTGCACACGATGCCATTGTGGGCGCATTATCGGCAGGTTACGTGAATCGCTCGTCGGCTGACGTGACCTTTCTATTCAAAGCACTCCTTGACGGCGTATTGCTTACCGCGCCCGGCTTGCCCGCGGACTCATGTACGCAATACGGCGGCCCGAGAAAATATTGGTAACCGCGGGCGAAGAGAGCAGCTTGCGAATGATCATTTGACACGACAGAGTCTCATTCAATGGTGGTGGACCGGCGGCAGCGGCGGTTTGCACATTTACCGCGTTCGATTTAAAACAATTTTAGTCATGCACGGCCGGCGCGACCATGCACACCCTATTCTATTGTGGGAACAGTATCGACCAGCAATGCAAATTGCTCATCGGCCGACATGAACTTGTTTGTTCAGATTACCTCTTGATGGAGCGACGCCACCTGCGGTCGGCCTTCCAGCACCGTGGTGGACAGAATGCTACACTGGGAAAAAATACTTGTGATCACTCGCAAAGAGCGCAGCTGTTTGCATATGGTAGTGCTGGTAGAGGATTATCAGTTGTCAGTGCAACACAGATGTCTGCTTCTGATTTTTCTGATTCCCGTTCGCTTTGGTGGAGACTTGGACGGCGTCCTACTGAATGCTGGCTTCTGTCGGCTCGACAGAAGCTGCGATTTGCAAAGATGAGGAGAAAAACGCAAGATACTTTGATTCGCATGCGGCTGGTGTAGCCATTCATACGCGATGCTTTTGTCGGGGCAACATCGGCCGGCAATGTTAATCGTTTATCACCCGATATAGTTATTTCAAATTACCCCCTGACGGAGCATTGGTAAGTACGGCTGGCCTGCCGTAGCGTGATGGCTAGAATACGGCCACCCAGGAAAAAGAAATACTTACGAGCGCGCGAAGATTGCGACTGTGTGCAAATCATAACGCTGGGATGAGACTATCAGCTGCGAGTACAGCACACGTCTCGGATTGCGGTTTCCATTATATTCGGTCGACCCCCGAAAGCACAGCAGTGAATGCTGGTAAGCGGGCCACAGCTACGATTTGCCAAGATTCAACGTGCGATTCGGGATACATGTACTCACGCGCCCAGCGTGCTGCCACGCACACAAGATGGATATATTTGCTATCGCAGCCAGCATGCTGTCATGCACACGCGATGGGCATATTTACTCTCGCGCCCAGCATGCTGTCATGCACACACGAGAGGTATATATACTCTCGCGGCCAGCGTGCTGCCAATGCACACATGATGGATATATTTACTGTCGCGCCCAGCATGATGCCATGCACACACGATGCATATATTTACTGTCGCGCCCAGCATGCTGCCATGCACACACGATGCATATATTTACCCTCGAGGCCAGCGTGCTGCCATGCACACACGGCGGATATATTTACTCTCGCGCCCAGCGTGCTGCCATGTACACACGATGCCATTGTGGGAGAACGATCTGCCGCAAAATAAATCACTCATCGGCCCATATAGCCTTCTTTGTTCATATCACCCTTGACAGGCGCACTGCCGATCTGCCCCTGGCGTGATGGAAAGAAAACGGCGGCCAGTAAGACTACTTATAACCACGTGCAGGAAGCGTGACCGTGCATTCCATAGCGTTAGTATAGAATTCGTCCAATTCTTCGCGTCCAATTCAAAATACTTTTTTTAGTGCACGGCGGTTGCAACCATACACACGCGATGTCACTAAGGGCGCAGCATTCACCAGTAATGTAAATTGCCCATTGGCTGGCATGAACTATGTTGTTCAACTTATTCCTTTAAGGTGCATTGCTAGTTGCAGCTTACCTGCCCGTGGCGTAATGGACATAAGTCCACGGCTCCGGAGGCATGCTTATGTTTTGTGTGCGGAGGACGCAACTGTGTGCATTCGAAAGCACTGGTATAGGGATATCAGCTGTCATTACAACACACTCGTCTGAATAGGGAATTCATGGCAATCATTCGACCCCCGCGACAGTCTCACCCGGTGCTGGCCAGGTGGCTGCAGCGGCGATTTGCGATCCATTTAAATTATTTTATTCCTTTGCTTCGGGTGGCACCATGTGCACACCATGCATATTGTCGGAGTACGTTCACCCGGGAACTTGAGTAGCTCATCGGCCGACATGAAATTCTTTCCAAAACAGCCGTTGACAGCGTATTGTTTACTCCAGCCCACCATCCCGTTGCGTGATAGCCAGAATACGGCCGCCCTAGGGAAAAACTTATAATCGCGTGCAAACAGCAAAGTTGTGTGCATTCGGCACCTCTAACATAAGGCTTTCAGCTGCCAGGTCAACACACTTGTCTGACTTTGGCTTCCATTTTCCTGGTCGACCATCCGACAGCGTCTCACTCGATGCCGTCACTCGATGCGGCGGGAGCGGAGATCTGCAAAGTTACGGCACTCATAGAACAGTGCTTGTAGTCATGTACGGTGAATGTGACCATCCATGCATACACGATGTTATTGTCGGAGCACTGTCGGCTGACAACGTAAATGTTTCATCAGCCGACATGAGCTTTTTTTGCTCAAATCGCACCATGACGGCGTATTGCGAATCCGAGGCTGGCATGCCCGTAGTGTGGTGGCCGGAATGCGTCAGACTGGGCGCATATAGATATAGATATAGATATAGATATAGATATAGATATAGATATAGATATATATATATATATATATATATATATATATATATATATCTATATCTATATCTATATCTATATCTATATCTATATCTATATCTATATCTATATCTATATCTATATATCTATATATCTATATATCCATATATATATATATATATATATATATGCATATATATATATATATATATATATATATATATATACATATGTATATATATATATATATAAAATGTGCTAAAATTCGACTGTGTGTATTTGACAGCACCGCTGTAAGGCTAACAGCTGCCAGTACAGCACACTTGTCCGGTTCTGGTTTAATTTTTAGTCAAGCGACTCTCCGACAGCGTCGCGCGCAATACCGGCGTTCGTTCGCATCGGCAATTTGCGAGGTTACGGCGCCCAATTTGACGTACTTGTAGTTGTGTGCGACGGGTGCAACTCTGGGCACACCAAGCCATTGTAAGGGCGCGTTTGGCCTACAACGTACAGTGCTTATCGATAAGACAGAAAGAACGACCTTATTCCGCGTAGAAAAATACAGGAGGATGGAGATATGGATGCGTTGATATTTCGGCAACACGCATTTATCGAAACGAAAAGTGGTCGTAAATTTACCGCAACGTTTTTACTTCTACCATTCCTTTTGCTAATGGCATGTTGGTGAAATATCAACGCAGATATATCTCCATTCTTCTGGGTTTTTTTTCTACGAGGAACAAGGCTATTACCAATATCTCATATATATGTATAATGCTCCTCACAGTGCACTTAACAACTTACATCAATCACTTACATTCGACATCACCACTTTTCTTCAAAGCACCCCTGTGAGGCACATAACAAACTTTGTCGAGATAGCCCCTAGCGTGATTTCTAGAGTACGGTGTCAATAAATATATTGTCGCGATAAATACCCATAATCGCGCGCGAAAGGTACAGCTGTGAGCAATCGATAGCGCCTGCACATTGCTTTCAATTGCGATTACAACACAGTTGTCCGATTCGGGCTTCGATTTATTCCGCCGACCTCCAACAGGGGCCACACGACGTTGTCGAGCCGACCACAGCGGCGAATCACAAAGTTGTAACTTTCAGTTTAAAGTACGTTTTGTTGTGCGCAGCAGGTGCGACCGTGAGCGCAAGAAGTCATTGTCGACGGGTGCAGTGCCATTAATTTTGAGTTGGGGAGGGGGCAGAATTTAGTGGGGGAAATCCTGTGCAAATGGGATCTGCTAACAGGTGGACCTCCTAGGCAATGTCGTATTCGAGGGAGAGGGGTTCCGAATGCATGTGTCCTGTTAACAAATTGATGCATGCATCAAAATGTCTAGAACAAAAAATCCAGAATGGGGCCTTCTGATCATCCAGCGGACAACCTAACCATCCTAAAACAGGACCACCTGTTCCGGAAAAGCCTCTCCTGATCAGGGGTGGCGCGACAGCGGAAGGGGCAGAGGGTGCTCCTTCCCCTGCCGGTCGGCAGGGGGCGGAAGGATGTGTTTTACCATTTCCCCAATGTTTGAGAGGCCCCTTTTCCCAAATTAAATACATGGCAGCTCCCCATAGAGCACCAACGTTGAGAGCAAGGAGGTCCACATAACTGAGCTAGAGAGTAATAAATCATGTTCAGAAGACCCTTTGCTACTCCAAGAGATACGTTTTCTGCATCACGAGACACCCGTTATGACGAAAGAAGTCAATACACGGTACATTGTACTTGACCTGAGTCACCGATTCAAATGCATCCCATGCCGTTCCGATTTTGTCCTACGCAAATTTCAAAAGACTCTAGTCAATTTCACCTTATCCGAAAAAGTGTGGTTTGGAGTCGACTCAGACCTCATCAAGAGCATAAGGCATCAAGACGGCCCTCGAAAAATACAAAGTGCATGACGTCATAGGCATTCCGCGGTATGCGCTTGTATATCAGTATTTTGTCGCACCTGCGTTGTATTCGAGTCCAGGTGGGTCGCCTGCGCTCAATAAGATTAAAACTAGCGGGTGAGTGGGAATTGTTGGCGTTTTTTTGTCAGGTGTATGCTCTGCAATCAATTAGTTTTCTGCTCTCTGAAAAGGTGCGCAAGGACCCGGATTACCTTATAATTGGGGTAGATGTCCTGCTTTAGAGTCTTCGTTACTAATGCTCGGGATGAGGGCTTCGGTTTATTTCGGCCATAGCCTAAGATGTGGAGTGTTACTTTAATGGTTGATTTTAGATGTTTCAAAGCAGCAGTGGAGATGGGCCTCACTTTCCTGCATCTCTGACTTTGAGATTGAAGTGTGAATTATGTGCAGCACTGTGAAGAACTCATGCTTTGATGCTTTGCATACTTTGAAGATTGCAAAATGATGAGTATTGTTATTATTTTACATGAGATTTATGCGTGATTTTTCTATTAGCACATTTGATTTATAATTGACATAGACATTGATCATGAAGTGCGTGAAAAGATTCAAACAATATATCAACATGATGTAAGGCTTTCCATAATTTTTTACACATTTTGTCCAATTTTTAGTCTGTCTTCCCCTTGTCAGGACCTGGGCATGTTGTGCATGGCTTCATACTTTCAAGTTAAAACATTGAAATGTTAAAAGTTGATTACACATGGCATTTGCTTTACTACTAGTTTGATAAATTTCAGCATGATTTGTGCCAGTGGGGCTTAATAATGCATTCAGCTGTGAAGGCTATGTCATGTCACCTGCCTCTTGCCCTGGCAGATGGGTTGGCACTGCAGGAAATGAAGCCCCATAAATGTTGTGCCTCTGGTTTTCCAGATGTGTAGTAACTGGCACAGGTATCTTATCTTAATCTCTACCCTAATGGTACCCCTTCAGCATGGTTTGCAATGCCATTGCTCACCCCCAAGCATCATGTTACACTGTCTGGATCTCCCCCCACAGTTTTGTGTTGCTCCAATCACTGTGTAAACCTGTCTCCTACTTGCATAACATAATTTCTGGATGACCTCTTTAACATACATGCGAGCACATTAGTTTTTAAGATTGCAAGTAAATACCATACCACTAATGAGGAGAGATTGTCAACCTCTTTGGTATTCACAAAATGGTCACCTGTGAATATGCATCAATGTTAATTGTAGCATGTAATGCCATGAAAAGACCCAGGTTTCTTATAGATCAAGGGACCATAATGGAGGGTGAATGATGAAAAAGTATGCTGGAAATGAGTTATTTTTCCTCAGCAACTGCTGATGAATCAGAACAGGGGTATGAGTTTATGGAGGAGAGGGGTTCTGGAATAAATTAGTCCACAAATTTATGAAAATCCCTGGAAGGAAATAACACAAATTGTCTTCCCCCCCCCCCCCCAATAAAAAACTGAGATATTCTTGTACCCCTCACTGGCAGTGGTCCTTGGCTGATATTTCATAAGATAATTGATCAACTTCAGCAAAATGTTTGCTCAAATATTGTGTTATGGTGTGTAGTGCTTCCATATTGGAAAGCATATCAGGAAGCTTCCATACTATATATATATATATATATATATATATATATATATATATATATATATATATATATATATGTGTGTGTGTGTGTGTGTGTGTGTGTGTGTGTGTGTGTATGTATGTATGTATGTATGTATGTATGTATGTATGTATGTATGTATGTATGTATGTATGTATGTATGTATGTATGTATGTATGTATGTATGTATGTATGTATGTATGTATGTATGTATGTATGTATGTATGTATGTATGTATGTATGTATGTATGTATGTATGTATGTATGTATGTATGTATGTATGTATGTATGTATGTATGTATGTATGTATGTATGTATGTATGTATGTATGTATGTATGTATGTATGTATGTATGTATGTATGTATGTATGTATGTATGTATGTATGTATGTATGTATGTATGTATGTATGTATGTATGTATGTATGTATGTATGTATGTATGTATGTATGTATGTATGTATGTATGTATGTATGTATGTATGTATGTATGTATGTATGTATGTATGTATGTATGTATGTATGTATATAGTACTGCTGTCATAATTTTTCTCCACATGGTTTTAGTTAAGTGGCTAAAAGCCATGGCCTTATATCCCTGCTGCATTTATTGCTACAAATGACAATTGTATTGCATTTTACTGATCAAGTTACAAATGCAGTATCCATGTCATTGATAGGCCTGGATCCCTGCAAGCATGGACCACGAACTTTCACCCGATGCCTCAAGATCGGAAGGCACAAACGAAAAACCACACAAACCCAAGAAGGAAAAGAAGAAAAAGGAGAAGAGTGCAGATCCAGACCACAAAACCAAAAAGGAGAAGCACAAAAAGCACAGGGAGCGCGATCAGTTCCAGGATGAGGGGCCGGACGACGGAGGCGGCGAGAGTGCTGCGGCCGTGAAGCACGAACAGGACAGGCGGTACTCGCTGATCATCCAGGGCTCGGGTGATGTGGACGGCGGGCCTGGCCTCCATTACATGGCCTATGTGGTGATGGACGACCTGGCCGACAAGCTGAAGCTGCTCGACTACGAGCGCGACTTTTGCAAGCCGCTCAAGATGAAGCCGCTTAACCGACACTATTTCGTGTACTCGTTCAACGTGGGCGAGCAGTTTTACCTGTTCACGTCGCTGGCGGCCTGGCTGGTACGTAAAGCCGGGCGGCAGATGGAGCAGCCGCAGGAGTACGACGACCCTAACGTCACCATCTCCACCATCCTCGACAACTGCCGTCAGATGGGGCTGCACGTCGACTTCCCGCCCAGTAAGCTGAAACAGGGCAGCGGCGAGCAGGTAATCTACATCATCGACCGGCTGGCCGACCAGGCACTGAAGACGGTGAACTTCCAGTGGCAGAAGCCGGAGATGCCCGATGGCGAGGAGATCGTCGAGAAGGAGGAAGACGAGGCAGAGATCACCACCGAGAAGATGGACGAGGACGTGGAAGACGCGTTCTCGGAGGAGGAGGACGAGGGCGCCGTGCTCAACCTGGAGGACCTGAAGAACCTCTCCATTCAGGGCCTCAACATCCAGATGGACGCACAAAAGCCGGACGATATCCTCGAGTCGACCACCAACACGGAGGAGTGGCGGCTGGAGATGGAGCGCGTGCTGCCGCAGCTGCGCGTGCAGATCCGTTCGGACACACGCGACTGGCGCAATCACTTGGACCAGATGCATCAGTACCGCGGTGCCATCGACGATTCGCTGTCGGAGACGCAGTCGCTGCTCAATAAGCTGCACGGTGACGTCAGGGGCACGCTCGACAAGATCGTCAATCGCGAGAAGTACCTGAACTCGCAGCTGGAGCACTTGCTGGCCGACTACCGCACCATGGTGGATGAACGCGACAGGTAAGCACGTGTTTGGGGATGACGTGAGTTGTGATGTGATGTGTGCCTTTGTGGGATGAGATATTTTATCATTTGATCAGATCCTATCTTTCTCAGTATGTTTCAAGTATATCTATGGAACTTAATTTACTCTGGCCACATCACTGCCAGAAACTTGCCGTCACCCTGTGGACACGTTCGTGCGTCAATGCGGTGTCGCCAGGTTATGCCGCAGGGGCGTTGGGTGCGTTTCCAGGCAGCAAATGCTGTGTTAGACCGCCGCGGCTCTCGCTCTCTGACGGGTAGCGTGTGAGAGCACCGTTGATTTGCCACGCCGTGTTCCCAGTACGCAGGAGCAGTACAAGACGGTGAACGTCGGCGTGGTGGAGCGGTCGCGGCAGCTGGCGCAGCTGACGGACGAGCTCGATTCGGTCAAGCAGGAGCTGGAGGAGCGCGGCACCAGCATGACCGACGGCACGCCGCTCGTCAACATACGCAAGGCGCTCAACCGCATCAAGCAGGAGGTGCAGGGCATGGACGTGCGCATCGGCGTGGTGGAGCACACGCTGCTGCAGTTCCGGCTGCGCGACAAGGAGGCGCTTCAGCAGGAGGCCAACGTCCAGTTCACCACCAACAGCATCGGGCTGTACTGAAGCGTGCCGTTGGGATGTCAGCACATACTGACGGCAGGTGGGAAGTCACGTCCTGATCTCGGCTGTTTCAACTGCGAGGAATGGCTTGAATCACTCTAGTCGATGGATCTCGCCCTTATTCACTAGACGTTTGGATTGTGAGGCGGAGCGGAGGTCACGTTACGCTTGGTTTCGGTGCACCATTGGCAGCCCTCGAGAGTCTGCCCGGCACGGTACGTCGTTACGCACTGCGCTGGCTGCCAGTGCACCCGTTTAGCATAGTGGGCTTACAGTGGGTCGGGCACGTCGGGCTGCACTAGGGCACGCAGCGGTGTATTTAGTAAGATCGCAGCCCTTTAAATTTTTCCACTAAGCTCAGAGTGGTCTTCTTCCCCTGTGCATTGGTCAACAACAGAAGCCCTCTAAAAAATATTGTTCGCGTGTTTGTGGGCCCATTCGCATAAAGCGTGTCTGATCTCGACGTTATTCAGGTAAGATTACACGATTCCGTCCACGTGTTTGCTCCAGCTGCGATTGTTTTGGTGTCTAGTATAGCACTTGAAGTGACTAGCCGAGTACTTCATACTCTGAAAGGTGCATGCCTTGAGTGACATGTGTATCGTGCTTAACCGGGATTTGCGTTAAGTCGCTAACGTTTTGGTGGCGCACGTTTCGATATTTATTGTTTTTGTTTTGGACACTTTGTTGCCCTTTTATTGCAATTTGTTGGGCAGTTTTTGGATCATGAGCCGAGTAGTATTTTTTGATATTGCGAGATATTTATGGATATTTAAGGTAAAGTATTTCGTATGGCTGCAATATTGTCGAATATTTGTTTCGAATAGCATCGGTTTATTTGCCGCGTTATATGACTCATAGAAACATACCAGCTTACTTGTTTGTAGCCACACTGAGACACTGTGACATTCCTATTAGATGCGCAACAGCTATGGATTGGTTTTCGTCGTGTTTTGTTCAACGCACTGTGTTTGCATCATTTTGACGATGGCTTGTTTGAAGCGATTTTGACTACGTCAAAGACTTTGTGTAATCTTTTATGGTATCGGACTCGGCTAATTCAATCGCTGTCTTTCAACACGCGCTCGGATGGGGTGGGGGTCAACTGACCCCCGAGGGTTTTCCGTAATTATTTCCGACAGGTGCGGTGCAGCTGTGCCAAACTTTGCATAGCTGTACGCAATTGAATAGCGGGTCTTTTGTGCAAAAAAAAAACTTGTAAGATTGCTGACTTGTGGCAGGTCAACTTCAGGCCGTGGCTGTCAGCGAAGGGCTTTTAAAGGAATCGTTCAGTGTGATGCGACAACGGAGCGTTAGAACAAGCCATGCATATAGTTTTGGGGCAATAAACCAATTAAAGTTAGAATTGCCAGAAATTCCATGGACCTGGGGTCAGGCATGAAGACCAGACGGGGGTCAAAACTAACCTGGGCTGGGTTCTTGGGCAGTTTCCGGTGCTTACTTCGAATTCATCAACGACAGAGATTTTGAAAGGCATGTCCCATGGATATTTTAAAGGTCAGAGTATGCCACTGACCTGAAATGGCCCGGGTTTTTTAGGAACTTACCCATTTTGGTTTTATGAACCTACCTCCTGGCATTTTCTCTGACGTTTATTGAAATGACAAAATGGGGGCAGGTGTTTGATCGTTTTGCGTTATAAAGGTCAAACCAGGTCACTAACCTTAATTTAACACCATTACTGTTTTGCTTAGAACATGTATCTTGTTTCACGGCGGTTGCATGAGAATGTCTAGGGGCGCCTGAGACCCCAAGCAGGAGTTGGACCTCGTTTGAACTCATTTGATCCGGAGGTCGTGACTAAGGAACCTCAAATTTTGACGCAAGTGTGTTTACATGCAGCTCAACCTGCCGTGTGAATTTGGTGTCTAGCTATCATAGTTTTCCAGATTTCAGGGGGCGGGTGGTCAAATTGACCCTGCCTCCACCCCCACCCCCACCCCCACCCGGACGAATGGTATTCAGCCGGCCACCCGACCGCCTACGAAATCAAGTTGGGTAATCGTTTTACCGCAGCGACGCACCAGTGTATAGCGTGGCGTACATGTTCCACCGCCTGTTGCGAAATAAACAACCAGCGCCGGATACGCTTTTTGCATGTGCTATTGCACATGATCTATGAATGGACACGATAACGCGTCTGTGTTACCCACTGCGCGTCTGAGAAACCAGAGGTACGGGGTTCGATTCCCCGCGGTGCCCGCCCTTCCCGCCAGGGTGAGAGGCAGGCGACGCCATATAGCCTCAGCAGCTGAGTGCGTCGTAAAGCCCCAATTACACAAACACATGAATGGACACGAAGTGTGATCGATCAGAACCCACCCAGCGTCGGCTCGTCAGCACCTGTCGCCCGCATTCTATGCGAAGCTCGCATTCCGACAGCTGCTACCACGTTGATTTTCTACAACAGACGAAGGCAGAACGTGACGCTTCCTGAATGGGCAAGAATGCAACGCTCACGCAGCTGTGTGTGGGCCTTTACTGGCCAGAGCGCTCCAATTGTCCGTTTACACGGCCGCACTACCTCGTAAGTGCCGCCCAGCTGGCACCTGCACGGTAACGATCGTTGCATAAGGCCCACGAAACGGATTTTGCGTATCCACCAGCGTTAGTCGAAGCAGCGAGTAGATAAGTTTATGCTTCGGCAAGGCCTTGCAGTTCGACTTTCAATATCTGTCTTTGTCAACGCTTTAAGACCACCGAAGAAGAACGAAGAAAGCAATGCATTAATTTCGCCCTTAATTTTGGAGTGTGAATGCAGCCACGGCTTGCAAGTCGCGGAGGTATTAGTGTTAATGACCTTATTGTGTGATGGAACGTTCCCACCTTAAGTTTACTGAAACGAGCCTGGTTCCGTTTTTTTACGAAACGCCAGCGAACAGTCGTTTAACAGATGGTTACTGCGCGGCCGGGTACCCCGCGAGAGATGTGAAAACTCTTAGATGCCAGACCATCACGCCCCCAACCCTCTACATACCTCTTGATCTCGACTGGAGCGAGCAACGCTGGCGCTTGGGGCATACATGTTGCGATGATAAGGCTTGTGTGACCGCTGTCATCAGCGTTGCGCCTGAAGCGGAAGGTAGCGGCGCAACGCAAACCATGATATTATGGCCGAAATAATCGTCGAATCTCAACACACGTCACAGCGCCCTGAGACTGAGCATGTGGTCCTGGCCATGACGGCGCCCTGATGAGCCGCCACGGACCTTACTCCGGATTATAGGCACGCCGCTCATCACGCATCGAATATCATGGCTGTCGTTTACGGAATGTTCTGGGACGAAGGCTGCTGGCTGTACAGGCTAAATGATTAGTCGGACTATTATGTTGGCGGTAGTGACATTATCAATGTGCAGGGACTCAAGGGGCGCATGCCCCTTCATCAAATATTAACGTTAATTGATATGCATATAACTTCACAAGTACGATATCGAGGTATACACGGATTATTCGTAGCTTTAAAGTTGTGCTGCTGTTACACGTCATGTAAGAAATCTTACACAGCTGTAACACGCTAAAACAATGGGCTTGAAATCAATGTAAATTTGTTGTCGCCCCCCCCCCCCCCTTGTAAAACGCTGAAAATGTCCCCAGCTGCTTATTGCTTGTTGTGTGGTCATTAATTACGAATAGCAGAGCACAATGAATTAGAGCAATGCCCCGATTGACGATTCCATCCGGACATCTTAACATAGCAAATTCCAAAACAAAATGTTTTGAATGAATTGACCTGTCTCTGCTTTCCAGCTCGCATAATTTTGTCGTGGCAATTCGGTGGCGTCATTAAACAGCTGGTGAGATATCGTACGGGGCAAACTTAACCGAAAGCAACAACTGCGCCAGCATTCATTGTTCCGAGGTTGGAGAAGGCGGGGGTTAGCGTAATCCGCGTAAGGCGACCCTGAAGGGAAGCGTTGGCGTCTGCATTTCGTTTCTCCGCTTGCTGAATTTGCCTCGACACCCGGATTGAGGGGCTGCGGGTAAGGAAACTTGTTAAGACCATCAGCTTGTGTGTGTTTCTCGGTACATTGAGAAAAGCCGCTCTGCTACTACATGCACTTGTCTAGTTCATATGGTTCATATGGCGCAGCGGTCGTTCGCAGTGGAAGGCTCATCATCAAAGAAGGAGTGTTTTCATATAGTTGTTTGACATACGTTATCATTTTTCTGCTTCAATTTCCAAGAACATTGGGGGAAGGCTTAGTGGTGGTTGGTGGGGAAGTAGCTCCACCCTAAATACCTTCTCTGCTTAAAATACAATTACCTAATTTGGAAACCCAAACATTTCAACAAGAAATTTGCCTGGTTAGTGATTGCAATGAAGGAAATCCCAGTCAAGATGTGTTTTTGGCAACAAAAGTTGGCTAGATATATTGAAGTTTGTGTGCGGATGTGATTTTAGATAACTGGAGAGCCCCTTGCTGGGTATCCTGTGGAGTACCTAACAAAAGTTGGCTAGATATATTGGGGCTTGTGTGTGAATATGATTTAAGTAGCTGGAGAGCCATTTTCTGGGTATCCTTACTGGAGTTCTGACTTGCTCAGTTTAATTACTCAGTTCTTGCCTCCTCTTTTGAAAATCAGTGGTACATTTGGTTGAAGCTATGCTATGATTACACAGGGTTTTTGTTAAAAGGTCACTTGTTTTGAGTTAAAGTTACAACATTACCTGCAAGTTCAGGGATTTTTCTAAAGCAGTACCTAGTCTAGAACATGTTTTGTTGCCTTTGCATTATGGTGTTGAGTTGTCAGTGAAGCTTTATCCTGTCATGCAAGCTTACATTTGTGTTAATTATAACCTGATATGAGGATTCCTCAATGAAAATAAATATTTGCTGGCATTTATTTAATGCCAATATCATAAGCATTGGTCATTTATAGCTTTAAATTATGTGGAGATTTGTGTTTTCCCCAGAAATCTAATCAGTAGTGCGCAGAAAAGCGGGATGGCAAATATTGCAACATCCCATCATGCTTTCATATCGTACTGTTAGTGGATCACATATAATCCTACATTATCAGAAAATGAAGTTAGGCAAGTTGCAAAATGAATTATAAACATTGATACCAGTGGTGAAAACACCATACCACTGGTACAGTGGCCAGGACGGTGGTTTCTGCACATAATGGGTGGCTGACAGCCAACCTTCAATAATTGCATCCATTGCGCTTGATGCCTACTTGACATCTGTGTGCTTAATTTTGTGATTGTGTGTGTGTGTCTAACTCAGGTCAGTACATAATGCACTGAGTGTCAGATAAGTTTGATGTGAATAATGTGTTGGGATGATTTTGTGCAAAATTTCTTTCTCATCACAGATTTCCTTGAAATATTGTCTGTGTGCTGAAATCAATGAGCTGGTAGAACTGTGCACCAAGCTTCAAGCACTGGTATTCATTGTGGATGATGCCAAAATTTTGGCTGTGATGTTGCTGCTGTGCCTGACATGTGGAGCATAGCATTTATCAGTCTTGGCTGAGGTTGAGTTTGGGGCTGATCACTGCCTGAACCAAATTTGTTACATGCTGCGAACCATACAGGTGGCAAGGACACTGTCCACACAAGCTACTCTCTGCACTTCTCTTTGGAGCACCTTCAACAAAGTGCATCCAAACTTTCATTTCTTGCTGAAGGTTTCTAGGGTCACATATTGTTCTAGAAGAGGAAGCATGATAACAATTTTCATCATCTATTTGTTGTAACTTGTTAGTGCTAAGCACACTTGTCTTGGGTCATGTTTTGTGTAAGCTGAATACACATATTTGTGTTACACTGCATTACATTGACTGCAGCTGCCATGACATCATGCTGTGGTTACACCTTTGACCTCAAGGAAATCACTTGCTGGACCATGCAAATGCCACAATCAAAGCTTTTTTGAAGCATACCTGGGTACATATTGTCAGTGATTGTTGAGATATGGTGTGTGCATGCATGCATGCATGCTGTATATGCCTGATCAATGCTGAGCAACTTTTAAAATCCAGTCTGGCCCATGCAGTTGACATATATGCAGGGGTGTATGCTCATAGTAGCCATCAGGGGCACATGCCCTGCCCCATTGTCAAAGTTGTGGCATGTAGTGATACGCACATGCTAAGAGAGCTAAAAATGCATGTAAAAATAGGATCAGAAGCATGCAATACTGTCTTACAACAGGCAAGGTGTCTGTGTGTGTGTGTGTGTGTGTGTGTGTGTGTGTGTGTGTGTGTGTGTGTGTGTGTGTGTGTGTGTGTGTGTGCGTGCGTGCGTGCGTGCGTGCGTGCGTGCGTGCGTGCGTGCGTGCGTGCGTGCGTGCGTGCGTGCGGCCGGCCGGCCGGCCGGCCGGGCGGGCGGGCGGGCGGGTGGGTGCGTGCGTGTGTGCGCGCACGTTTGTGCGTGCTAAACTCATTTTTCAGTAGAACCGTGTATCTGTTCCTTCATTGCAAAATTGTGTGTATGCCCCCTGCATGCCATGTGACTCGCATTTAATCTCAGATGGTGGGAAGCTCATATGGAGGCACTGAACAGGTATTTGGTAGTCCAGAAATTAGTCTAGTATTGTTAGAACCCTGCAGCCATGCACCTTTCTGGTGCACTGTGTCAGTTGCAATGTGGCCAAAGTTCTCTTTTTTATTCCAGGTGTGAGGTGGATCTGGGTTCATGGCGATCCAGAATGGAATTGGTTAGTACATTATCCTGTTATTTGTGGTTGTTTTTATGGTTGTGACTTGTTCCATTGTTCACATGGAAAATTTTAGAACAATTGCAACACTGTATGAATTCAACAACTTAATGTTGTTCTCTCCCATAGTCAAGGTGAAGTGATGTATGGCTTTGCTCTATCAACACTGGGTTTGAATGCCAGATATGACATTTGTATAACGTGATATTGTTGATGCTAACGACCAATGCACAGTTGTCGTTTAGCACCAGATAGGGGGATAGCACGCCACTGGGCAGCTGCCTTGTGAGTGGTCTGTCAAAATGTGCAAACAAGATTCACCATCCGTCATTCGGCGCGCCAAGATTCGCTGTTTGTCCGCACCGATGGCCAGTTGGTTCGGGCGCCCCCCCCCCCCCCCCCTTCCAATCCATGCGCCCGTGGCGGGCAGGTTCGTGTCGCTTTAGGTGCTCGCTGTTTGCCATTGACAGCTTTGGCCGGGGCAGCGACCATGCTCAAGGTCAGGTGCTGTCACAGGGCAGGACAGGCCGTGCCGAGCATTGCGGTACGGCAAACTATCGCCGCCAAATTCTGCCGCTGACCTGAGATTGCGCGATCAGATGGAAGAGGCCAGGGCTCACACAACAAGCACTGCTTAGCGTGTGCTCTGATCCCAGGCGTCTATTTATGCAAGACGTTCGAATTGAACCCTTAGAATATGTTCCTGTGAACCTAAATGTTTCTGAAAAACTCTGTTTATCTGGAATGGAACTATTTGTATGGCGTGGAGCCATGGCAATGAGCTCTGCTTTGTTACTCAGTCTCCGAACAGTCTGTAAACCCTTGAAATGAGATTTCTAAACAAAGCCCAATTCTAGTTGTACAGCTTAAATAGTCAACTATGACCAGTGTCTGAATGTCGCCGAGTCTCTGGTGGCATGCTCTGTGAACACGTGTTTTCCACGGATGCGTCGTTGCCATTGTGTTGTGTCTGGCCTGCAGAGGCGGGCGCGTGGCCGGTCTCGTCCCAGGGGGTGATGCAGCACGCGCCCAGCAACGAGGAGTGCGGCATTCGCGAGGTGTGGGCCTACAACTTGGACCGCGAGTTCGAGCACATCCGAAAGGTGGCGCAGACGTACAAATACGTGGCCATGGTGAGTGCAGTGAGCGCGAGGAGACGGCGCGCCGCACCGCGCGTGGCCGGGAGCTGTGTGCCGGCTCGGGCTCGGCGCGCCGCGGGTAGTGTGTTCTCTGGTATAGATCGCCCGTGTTGACGGCCGCTGGGGTCCAGCGGTCCAGCTCGCTCGACCAGAGCAAAGTTTGAGGACACGATAAGATCAGATTAGATAAAAGCGCTCGATTCTGCGGGCGGACCCGGACCGCCAAGACCTCTGGTCCTGTGAGTCAGGCGCTCCGTCCCCATGGCGACTGTCAGGGATCCTGTGGCAGCCACCCTATTTGGGGATCGAAGGTTTGCTGCTGGGGTGACGGACATTTCGCAGATCAGCTTGGGGTCTCGTTTTTTTGTGTTGTGTACGTCATAGACAGTTTGGTATTCATATTCAGTATATATGGTTGTTTCTTCAATGCGCGAGTTGTGCGCGCATTCTCAGACTCGAATTACAGGGTCACGAACTCTCCAAAAACACGGACTTGGGCACCGTGCCCGAGTTCTGGCTTTTGCCCCCACCCTTGGCTTAGGTACGAGGTGCGCAGTTATTTGCGTGCGGCGTCTTTTGCTGCCCGTTTTTAAGTCTGGCTTCGGTCCTCCGGTGCATCATGTGGCTTTGATTGGCACGTGCGCATTATGCTTTGTTCTTTCGTGGTGGCGTAATTATGTGTCAGACTCATACCTTCCCGGCCGTGTCTGTGTCTGACCGCTCCGTCCTCTCCAGGACACCGAGTGTCCGGCCCATGTCTGTGTCTGACCGCTCCGTCCTCTCCAAGACGCCGAGTTCTCGGGCGTGTATGTGTGTGACCACTCCGTCTTCTCCAGGATACCGTGTTTCCGGCCGTGTCTGCGTCTGACCACTCCGCCCTCTCCAGGATACAGAGTTTCCGGCGTGTCTGTGTCTGACCGTTCCGTCGTCTCCAGGACACCGAGTTTTCGGCCGTGTCTGTGTCTGACCGCTCCGTCCCCTCCAAGACACCAAGGCCCCGGGCGTGTCTTTGTGTGACCGCTCCGTCTTCTCCAAGACACCAAGTTCCTGGCCGCCTCTGTGACTGACCGCTCCGTCCTCTCCATGACACCGGGGTCCCGGGCGTGTCGGTGTCTGACCGTTCCGTCCTCCTCAAGACACCAAGGTCCTGGGCGTGTCTGTTCTGACTGCCTCGTCCTCTCCAGGACACCGAGATCTCGGGCGTTTCTGTGTCTGACGGCTCCTCTCCAGAACACCGAGGTCCGGGGTGTGTTTATGTCTGATCGTTCCGTCCGCTCTTGGACGTCGGGGTCCCCGGCAGTGTCTGCGTCTGACGGCCCCGTCCTCTCCAGGACACCGAGTTCTCGGGCGTGTTTGTGTCTGACCGCTCCGTCCTCTCCAGGACACCAAGGTTTGTCTGTTCTGACCGCTCCGTCCTATCCAAGACACCAAGGTTCTAGGTTTGTCTGTGTCTGACGGCTCCGTCCTCTCCAGGACACCGAGTTTCCCGGCGTCGTGGCGCGGCCGATCGGCGAGTTCCGCAGCGCCCAGGACTACGAGTACCAGTTGCGCCGTTGCAACGTCGACCACCTGAAGATGATCCAGCTGGGCATCACCTTCTTCAACGAGCAAGGCTTTACGCCCCAGCCCATCACCACCTGGCAGTTCAACTTCCGCTTCAACCTCGGGTACGGCGGAGTCTCTCCCGGGGTGCCCCGCCGCTGTCTGACGCAGAGACACTGTTTTGTACTGCTGAGAGACGTGGGCCGTTTGGAGTTAAGGTCATGTTGCACGTGGTGTCTGGTTATCACGTGCTGATGGCCGGTATGTCAGTTTGGCGCTGGCGCTCCTTGTCGCCCACTGACGACTATGTTGCAGTGTCAGGTCGCCCCCTCCCCCTGTCTCACAGGTGGTTTGGTTCCATTGTGTCTTACCTGATATAAGCCGTGTTCATGTTGTCGGTGCGCATTGCGAACCGAATGGACGGCGTCGCTGCACTCCCGCCGGTCACATCTGCCCTCTGGTGGCGTGGGGCGGAACTTGAGTCAGCTTGAGCTGAGGAATCGCCCGAATGGCCGTAATGTGCGGGAATGGACGTTCGGTGTAGTGACTGTCGGTCTGATTGTTACCGTCTGCTTCGTTCACATGACCAATGATGGGCTAGTTTCTGACAGGCAGAAATGAGGTTAACGTTGTGTCTTATCTGCATACAGCGTTTGGAAACACCGTGATCGTGTGGGTTGTGCCCCAGGGTCCAAACTAAGCCATTGCTCCGTCCCGGCTTTTAAGGCACTCACTAAGGCCTCCACTATTTTCCAAAGCCGTGGAACGCACGTTATTGTATGTAGCTTAGCCACTGGCTGTACAATGCCAGATAGCAGTCGTTTCGTACGTAGCTGAATATGCGGCTGCGCCTAAAGATGCCACTGCATGCTGGGGGCGATTTGAGAAAGCGAACGGCTTGATTTCAGGTGACGTCCAGAAGGCCATGCCGCCCGGCTCGTTTTGTCTGCCGGGAGGCTTACGGCAGAACATTTATGCGCCGTAGTGTAACTGTGAACCGGACGCGAAGAATCTTTAGCAGTTATTTTAATATAGTTGTGTTATCAGCATATTTGTAATCGAAAGAAAGGCACAGCAAATATACGGTTGTGTCTGTTAACGCCGTCGCTGTGTAAGGACGCCGAACACATATGGCGTGAATCGGCTTGAAGTGAAACTGGCACCGTGCCAGACTGGCCACTCTCGATGTCTGCATGTGTTTCAGCGAGGACATGTACGCCCAGGACTCCATTGATCTGCTGCAGAAGTCGGGCATCCAGTTCCGCAAGCACGACGACGAGGGCATCGAGCCGTTCGAGTTCGCCGAGCTCATCACCACCTCGGGCGTGGTGCTCATGGATGACGTCAAGTGGATCTCCTTCCACAGGTGAGCTGCGCCCCGATGGTGTCCCGTGACGGCGCCGACGCGTCACCCCTGTCCGTGGTTAGTGTCATGGTCGCTCTCAGAGTGCTGTCTGGCGGCTGGCCCCTGACAGTCCTCTCCCGTGACTGCGCCAAACTGTCTGAAGTATTTCCTTCGTACGAAGCTGTCGTCGCCACGGCACGGGGCCCTGCAGTCCAGTGCGGACGGGGTCTGGCCCTGCGGATGCCCATGACCGGTCCTGTCTCGCGTGATCCGCACCGACCTCGCGTCCAGTTAGTAAGTCAACGGCGGCACCCAGACGCCGTGGGTACTTGCGTTGAGCCACCTTTGGTTTCCTTGTAGCAAAGGCTGAGCCACTCGCCGCTCTTAATGTTTCACTTTTGAATGTATGATTTAAGGTTTGCTTCTGTTTCAGCGGTTACGACTTCGGTTACTTGCTGAAAATCCTGACCAATCAAAACCTGCCACAGGAAGAGTCCGAGTTCTTTGAGCTTCTGCGAACGTATTTCCCCACTATGTACGATGTCAAGTACTTGATGAAGTCTTGCAAAAATCTGAAAGGAGGATTGCAGGAGGTAAGGTGATCAGGCACCCTTGTGCCAAGTCAGTTTGATTCATATGGTAATAGCACGTCCTTCCTCAACCAGTCTTTAAACACTGTCCTTTAGGGTATTTGGCCAGGCCTAAACGGTTACGATTGAAAGACTAGTTTACTTTCTGCTCGGTATCGCATCGCGAAAGGCTATGGACGGACGAGTGCGGTACGTAATCATGTCCCGACTTGCGTATGAATAATCGCAACAAATGCCCTTTTGTGAATGAAAGGTAAATAGTACGGTATGTGTATATGACCGTGGAATGCCTTCAGGTCGCGCTTGATTTGCGTCGTAAGGAAAAGTAACGTAACGAGAAGCACGACGTGTCGGAAGCAGCAAAATTATTGTTTTCCCAAGGAATATGCAAGGTGCTTTGGTAACTATAAGCCTCGCATCAGCATGGTTCTCCCCGGGCGTAGCTACGCGACGGTGCGCTTCCCAACCCCACGTCGTCGCGAATGGTCCGTCGACCCGACCTGGTGGATCATGTCACTTGTATCTGGACCGGCATGCCTGCCACAAAAAAAAACACAAGCTTATTTGCGTGGCATCGCTATCGTCTCCCTTTGTGTGTCCAAATTGGAGACGGGCCGCGCCATTCATGCTGTGCTCGGCTCTGTCCTGCTGATGGGCCGATCGGTCAGCACATTGCTGTTCTACTGACACGTCCCTGATGGCATGCGGTGGACGTGCTGACGGCGGTGTGTCTGCTGCAGCTGGCCGACCAGCTGGAGCTGGAGCGGGTGGGGCCTCAGCACCAGGCGGGCAGCGACAGCCTGTTGACCGGCGCCGCCTTCTTCAAGATGCGCGAGGTCAGTACCAGGCACGCTTGGGTCACGGTGGCGGCCGCGTACCCGGTGCAGTGGGGGCAGGTCGGCCTGCAGCCGGTAGTATGTGTGGGGTGGGGGGGGGGGAAGGGAGATGCGTGAGACACAACGCAACACGTGGATGGACCGTGGTGACCAGGGGATTGGCTCTCGGTAACGAATAACCCGCCAAGCCACTCACATCGTATCTGTGGTGGAGTGTACGGTGTACTCTGATGGGTGTGACCCGTTGTGGGTGTCCGGCGTGTTTGCTTGTCGTCTGATGATGCCCGGCGATTACCCGGTGCTCAGAGTGGTCTGCCGGGTGGTCCGATAGCACCGCCCACAACTGGTCAGTCCGAATGACCCGAATCGGAACGCAATCTAGCGTCAATTGAGCGGCGCCTAAATGGAATTATCGCTACCTGGCCGGTGGTGAAATGGGAAACGCAGTCAATGTTGGGAGACTCGGCCGGGACAGGTCTAGGGCGGGTCAGGTGGAGAGTGCAGAGTACTCAGCAGGAACAGCGGAGCCATGGTCGGCCGTGTGAGCGTGACTCCGTTGAAAGGTGCAGATACTCGCGGCCAGTCATGTACTTCGTGCGAGTGAGAGCTCGAGCTGGTCTTTTTCTCTCTTATTCATCTGGTTTTCTTTCACGATGTCATTGTGTTGTACCCAAAGTGTGCAGTTCCCCACTTGGTCCCAGTTTCGGACCTGACACTGACCAGACTGGGCTTGGGCTCTGTTTATCCGCCCGTCGTGTGTGCGCACTGTCGCTCCCCAGGCTGCACGGCGAAGCTTGGCTGACGTGGTCGGCTTCCTCGCAAGCTGGACTAGCCCGTTTCCGTGTTTCAGATGTTCTTCGAGGACAATATCGACGACGCGAAGTACGGCGGGCACCTGTACGGGTTGGGCGCTCCGTACCTGGTGAACGGTGGCGGACCGACTGAGGCCAATGGCGACAACACCACCTCGGCATAGGTGAGCCGAACCCCCTCCCCCGCCTCGGCATAGGTGAGCCGAACCCCCTCCCCCGCCTCCGCCTCAGCATAGGTGAGCCGAACCCCCTTCCCCACCTCGGCATAGGTGAGCCGAACCCCCTCCCCCGCCTCGTCATAGGTGAGCCGAACCCCCTCCCCCATCTCGGCATAGGTGAGCCAAGCCCCCTCCCCCACCTCGGCATAGGTGAGCCGAACCCCCTTCCCCACCTCGGCATAGGTGAGCCGAACCCCCTCCCCCACCTCGTCATAGGTGAGCCGAACCCCGTCCCCCCGCCTCGGCATAGGTGAACCGGGCCGCCTGTCGCCATGCCGCAGCCGCTCCGTCACTAGAGGCCCCGGGAGACGGGACATACTCCAGTGAACGGGTGTCCCTCCCTCCAAAGGCGATCACATTGGTGCGTGCCGCCGGTCGCTCGGCGGTTCCCTCGCCCCCACATACAGCCCAGGTACTGGCAGTCACGGCACGGTCCTCCGGCCGGCAGTCACACACGAAGGCGGCCCTCTGCAGACGTGGGGACAGCGCAGCGGGCGGACTAGCATGCTCAGAACGCTGCACACCGATCGTGCACGCAGTGCATCGACTGTCAGGCAACAGCCTCTGCGCGGGCGCGAGGCAGGAATTGCCAGATGGTCTCGCGCTAGACCCTAGTTCGGTAGCCGCGCAGCCACAGCCAGTCAGCCACACCCGTACATAGATGACCACCGCTAGCCAGTTAGCGATAACCGGTACAGAGACGACCACAGTCAGCCTTCCACAGCCCGTACGTAGATGACCACCGCCAGCCAGTCAGCCACAGCCTGAACAGAGACGATCACAGCCAGCCAGCCCCACCCGTGCATAGATGACCACCGCTAGCCAGTCGGCCATAACCCGTACAGAGATGACCACAGCCAGCCAGCCACAGCCCGTACACAGATGACCACAGTTTTGTCGTCCAGTGGAAAAATGACGTGTCGTGTCTGTCGTTTGTGACCAGCTCTTAAGTTCAAGTCGTTGTCGCTTAACGAGGATGCAGGAGGAGCGCGCCTCAAGCAGGCGTGGCCGCGAAGCCCTTCTCCAGCTGGCTGCGATGCCCACGTTATGGACTCGAGCGACGGACAGTTGACCTGACCTAGCTGAGAAGCGGCATGAGCTTTTTCTTTTTGGGACGGGCGCAGCAGCCCTGCAGCCACAGTTCGTCCCAGACACGCTGCGTAATACTGCATATATGCAGACACGCAGATTATGCAGACAGGCCACATGCAATGTGACGATATGTCCAAAGTTATTACACCCAGAGAAAACGGAACTTTGAATAGCTTAAAAGCTTGTAGAGCACAGCCGGGAGCCCCGTATAGCTGCACCACGAATACGTCGCACTCCCACTGTTTCTGTTCAGAACGCCGCGCAAGGGTGGAGCATTGTCTTATAGCTAAAGTTTCGCATCCTATAACTGTGTCAATACCGATGGCAGTCTCCCCAACCGCAATGCGCGCGAACGCCCCTCTGATCGACGCCTGTTGTTCTTTCAGTGACGGAGTGGACCGGACTCGAGAAATTCTCTGTGATACTTGGGTTCAAATCCCCATTTTACCAGTGTGTCCAAGGCGACGTGGAGCGCCAGAGCAGGATGGGGAGGAGTAACTGGCGCCAGTGTTCAGACCTGCGAAGTCCGTAACCAGGAGACTGTTTCGAGTCTGTGTGTACGTGTAGTGGTGCTCTGCTGTGACCGTTGCGTGCGCTTGAATCAGGGGGAGATGAGAGGTACGACTGCCGACTGACGGGGTCCCGAGCCACCTCACACGGATATCACCACGGCGTTGGCGCTCTGTTGCAACGTTTTTTAGCGTTTCTGGTGCTCTGATAATTCCTAGTCTGTCTTTTAAGCATTTCTGTAGTACAATGGCCCCTAACTTGCCTTGTGTGGAGCGGTGCATTTGGTGACGGCATGGCCCTCAGTCTCGCTGGGGGTGTTTTACTCGGCGGACGACAGTTGTGCGTTTTATCTCGTGTGTGCGTGGTAGGCAAGGTGGGACCAGCGGGCCATCAGGGCACCCGCCGTCCTCCGTCCAATGAAGCCTCGTACCTGTCACCTCCCCCCACCGCGGCGTCACTGTGGGCGCGGCTGACACCGCCCGCCCGACTGCGCCCCCCGCGCCAGTGGGGACAGGTGCCGGCCGGCCAGCCCGCTCTCGCCGTCGCCCCGCCCCGAACCGCGCTCTCTCCTCTCGTGTCTCTGTACAGCCTCGCCGCCCGCTGTCGGGCCCGCGCTGTCCGCCGCGCCTGCGTTCTCTGTGGGCGCCGCTGCCCGGATCGGTGTGCGCCGCTGCCGGACGATCTCCGCGGAGCGTCGGGCCGCCCCGGTCCCCGCTACTTACGCGAGTCTGGCCAGCGCCTCGCGGTCCGCCTCCAGCCCTGTGGAACAGAATCGGTACTTACACGAGTTTGGCCAACGCGTCGCGGTCCGCCTCCAGCCCTGTGGCACAGATTCGGCACGTGCGCGAGTTTGACCAATGCGTAGTGGTCCACCTCTGCTCTGTGGTATCCGCTCGGTAGTTGCGGAGGTCTGGTGCTGATCACTTCCTGGACCACGTCTGTATCAGTTCAACACGGCTGGCGTGCAGTCGTCGTCAGGAATGGAGGTGTTTTTTATTGTGTATTCTAACCATGTAAAATACACTTGCAAAGCGCTGTCCTCTTTGTATGTCGTTATTGATTGGAAGGCCCAAGCGGCGGCCAGCCGCGATTTACTCTTGAGCACGTTACTCGAGGCTGCAGTTGCGAAAGCAGAGTTTGATGCCGCTGTCTTTTAGTGAAACGTGTGGCGCTAGCTGTTCAATTGCCGGCTATTTCGTTGATATGTAGCACGGAGACGTGTCTTCATCCTCACCGGCAGCTATTCTTCCATCGCTGGAATCAGCGTCAGCGCCTTGCGAGTACGCATATAGAGCTGTGTTTGTCTTGATTGCTGGATGCCGTGTGCTGTTGGGTCACCGTTTGATATGCGTCATGGGATGTCGCCAGTCCTTTGTCCTGGGGCGCTGTGACCTGGGTCGAGCCTGGCGGTTAGACCTGGGCCGGGCTGGGTCGTCAGACCTTGGCCGGGCCAGGTCGTCTGACCTGGATCTGGCCGGGTCGTCGGACCTGGGCTGGGCCGGGTCGTCGGACCTGGGCTGGGCCGGGTCGTCGGACCTGGGCTGGGCCGGGTCGTCGGACCTGGGCTGGGCCGGGTCGTCGGACCTGGGCTGGGCCGGGTCGTCGGACATGGGTCGGGCCGGTTCGCCGGACCAGGCCCGAGTGTGTGGGACACTGGCACGTGCGCCACTGGCTGCTGGTGTTACGGAGTGAAGAGCGTTACGCCTGACAGAGGTGCGTGATGTGCCATGTGACCTATTGACCGTCACGTCGTCTATGGAAGGGTCGACGGTGCGGCGGATTTCCTCGATCAGCTGGTCCTGGGACGTTACGTTGTAATTTGATGCGTACATGGTGTGGAGAGAAGAAAATGGTTTGAAAATGCCCTTAAAAAGCCCTTAAGACTCTGGTGTTTCGTCATTTTGAGTCCGTATGCTGCAGATAGCGGACCCTCAGTTTACCGGGAGGTAGTAACCAGATGATACCCAACAATTATGTAAATAAATTACGAAAATGTTCGCCTCTCCCGGTGGGGCTGATGATCACCACTCAGCATGAACACTTCTGGAAACATCTGGTGTTCTCGTACCACACAAGGATCACTTGACATCTCACCTCCCGGGGCATTGAAAGCCATTGAATTTGGAATGAGATCTCCCAGTCATGCATACACCTCCTTCCTGAGTTCGTCCCAGTCATTCACTTCCGTTTTCCCCTGCGGACCGTTGGCTGGATTCTCCTGTGTTGACTCATGGATGTGTCCAGCGCAGCTAACTGGGCTGGTGGCGAGGGCGTCCCTCGTGCGGCGTGGACGGGTATGGTGAACACGTAGTTCCGGGTTCTCTCACACGCGCCGTGCACGAAAACCTTTCTTGCATCAAAGCTGTGATTTCACCCTCACCACCGATGGGCAGCCAAGAGCTCCTTCCGTCGTCCCCAACGTTGCTCTGTGTATGTTCCTGCTTCTGATGAACGCCGGTCGGTATTTCCCTGTCGGAGAGCCCGCAAGGCGTGGACTCTTCTGGCGAACTTGGACTCGGCGAGTAAACACGTCTCATCTGGGAACTTCCTGTCAGTTGAGCATGATCTCCGACGTTTGCATGTGGCTGTCGTTTCCTGAAAGCCTTAAGTGCATCCCCATGACGACGCCCGGGTGATCGCACGCTGGGGCCAGACACGAATGGCACGCGTCGGATCGGACGGCGGTTACCATAACTGTCTGTGTGATGATTTCACTCTCGCTCAAGCGCGATGATATCACGGACGGAAAACGGTTGACAAATGCTTTGCGGCAAAGCTGTGGGAACGAGCACACTACGATGAACTGAATTATGCGTGTTCCGAAGATCGTGCTGCCAGCAGCCGCAGGGCGGTGTCGCACGTACCATATGTCACTTATCACTGATTGCTAAAATGCCAGCAGAAAATCGAGCTCCAGCGAGTCGAGGGATTCCAAGACGACAAGAGACCCGAGCCAAGCTACGGTCCCCAGGTGATTGAAAGGTCTGAGGACTGAAAAGGTGTCCTCCGACGGACAACGGGTTGCGAAACTGTTGAGGGATCATCCAGTGCCCTGAGACCGCAAGGGACCTGAGATCGCCTAAGGAACCGAAGCGGTCAAGTGATCCCTGCCTGAAGTGGCCCCCCGCGCAGTAAACGCGGGCGGGCAAGGGTTGCAAAATAGCCAGAGTACCCCAGACCCAAGATGAGCAGCCGGATGAGCACTAGATTACCCGGCTCCCGATCACTTTGGTTACATGCTGAAGGACCTGGTATAGTCGTGGTAACCGTGCAGAAAATATCGATGCACCCCTAAAGGGCACTGAGACTATCAAAGCGACGTTATTTTATATTGCTATTATTATGTTTTTATTTTGATCAACTAAGGAGCTTCGAGAGAGTTTGGTCGTCAGAAAATGGATTCGTAGCAAAGGACGCTTCGGCCAATGTAGCCAAACGGTCTGCTGGCGTGGAGGTGAAGAAAATTAAGGAAGCCTCCAGAAGGTACAGGGGCTGGCCAGTGGATGACGGCTCCCTGGAATAGTCCTGAGGCGAGTCCTGAGACGGCCGGGACGCCCACCTCGGATAACCGAGGCGGCGTCCTGACGCTGGGGAACCCAGGCAGTTAATGGTCATTAAGTTGTGAAGGGGTCGCTGAGTGACTACCGCTTTCACCTCAATTAATTTCAGGCCCTTGACCAGCTCCGGCCCTTTGAAACTTCTGAACGCTCTTTCACAGCTTGCAACTCCAGGGTCTATATATTTGATTGACCGCCGCCCATACCGTAGCTTTCAGAAGAAGCCTACTTTCAGACTACTTTCCCCAATTGCTTACCCGTGCATGCGATTGCATGCAATGATGACCTATACGCCGCACCGGGATATCCGCCACACTTAGATACACATATCATTCTGAAAGAGGGTCTGGTCGCTGCGTTTCACTGAGCGCTGATCCCAACTGAACGTTTGCCATATAAAGTAATGCAGCAGAACTCAGAAACCAACAAATGATATGATAGCGATTCCAGCCAGTGCAGGAATGCCGGCCAGTCGGCGGGCGTGATGTCGTGCGCCAAATGGGAAGGTATAATCAAAGGGCAACTGATGTTGCTTACGATTTTGTGAGATTGCCGAAATCCCAGAGGTCAAATTCTTACTTCGCTTCAAATATTGAGAAATGTCGGGAACCCAGTTTGCTACCAAAGGGGCAGATGGTGAGTGACACAATGGCCATCAATAGCTTCTAGAGACGTAAGATTACCGAAGGGCAAGTTTGCGTATATGCTGCTAATTGTTGAACGGCGCTGCAAGTGCAAGAAAGGGGCACAACGTAGCAACAGGTCACCAGTGGTTTCACAAGGTCTAAAATGGCCACAGTGAGAACATTGCACAAGTTGCATGAAATGCTGCCATTGCGTGGGGCCATGTTGCAAGTTCATACGGACACTTGCATTGTTGGGTAAGGTGCATCTGCAAGCTGTAGATTTGTCCGAAATCGTGTACACCCTAAATTTCAGCTCAGCGGAATTCAATCGAGCTTTGGTTTGGAAAACTCAAGGTGGTAATGCCATCATCTCCCTCATACCGACGAAGGTCATTGGTCCACATGTATTGTGAGCGACTGCTGCTCGTACCGCCTCCGTCCTATCCCACATCCTCCTTGCCCAATCACCACCTCTCTCCACATCCCGTGCCCTCCTCTCCATCCCACTGTGTCAATCCTTGTACGGTAGCATTTAGACGGACTGGGACTCAACGTTCATCCTTATCGACATCCTGCCTGTCCACGGCCTGCCTCCTGCATTTGTTCCTTCCCATCCCAGCCACCCCCTTTCCTTTCGCTCGACGTCTCGCCTTCTTCGCGCCAACATCCTCGTCCTCGTTCTGCGCCTCCCTGCTAGATCTCCTCATCCCACCTCCGCATCCGCTCCATATGCATACCGTCGGCACCTGCGTGGTCGCGCGCGCCGCCGGCAGAAGCTACTTGGTGGACAGATAGCGCATACGTGAGACGCTGCGCTATCTGTCAGCTATCTGCTCTCGGGAGGTCCATGCCCTGTTTGGGTCGTGTGAATCTGATCTGCGGCGGCAGCCCCCCGGCGGCGGCGGCGGCGGCGGCGGCGGCGCCGGCGGCGGGTGGCGCGGGCCCGCCCCGCCGGCGGCTGCCAGTCGCTGTGCGGTGCCGGCGCGCGACACCCGCTGCCGGAGCGGCGCGCAAGCGTGGGAGGGGGTCGCCCGCTCGAGCCGCCCGGCCCTGCCGCGCGAGCCGTCTACTGCCCCGGCCACCGTCGGAGCGGTAAGCCGTCCCACTGCCCCGGCCACCGTCGGAGACAGCCCGTCTCACTGCCCGGACCACTGCTGAGCGGTAGCCGGCCACTGGCCCGTCCCGATACACCGTCTCCTGAGCCGCCCCCCCGCGGAAGCGGCAGTCGTCCAGTGCCCGGGCCCAGTCTCACGGCCCCGGCCACCGTCGGAGGAACAAGCCAGCCTGCCCAGCGTGAGTACGCGGGACAGGCGAGGAAGGGAGTGGCGGGGTAGCTATTCGGAGGGTTCGAGAGGGAGTGTCACGACCGGAGAACCTTCCGACCCGGAATCCCAGCCCCAAATACATGGACGCTGATTAGTGGATGCTGATGGCGGGGTTAGCGTTTTGCGAGTCAGCATATCTCAGGACAGTAGCCCATTGAATGATTGCGGGCATTGCTGCCAATGAGTGCTGCCAATTTGTGTATTCATCCCGGGCAGTTCGTCGCGATCTCCACCGTCGATAGCATGAAGGGCGACGATCGCCATCAGCATGGTGGATCTCCATCAGCGGTGGTTACGCGCTGATACTGTCGCGCAGTGTCAGCGCTGTCCATGTGGACCGGAGATGGGTCGGTCTCCTCGACGGAGATTCGGAGGTGTGGCGCTGACACACCGCGCTGCGCTCACCGACGCCGTCTTCATCAATCATCATCAGCCGCATGGCACGGCATGGCCCCATTGCGCCGGCGCTGTGGTGTAACGGGTGCTGGAGCAGCCGTGCAGGTCTGGTGAAAGCCCGGCGGCTGCTCG